GGGGGGCGGGAGAGGGGGGCAAACCAAACGAAAAGACCCTTCAGCTGAGTCTGAGAGCAGATGGCCCCGGTTTAGGGAGAACATATAAATCAGCTGGTGGAGAGCCCTGGGCTCCTGCAGCACTAAAGCAAGAAATGTCAACAAAGTGACTGACTCAATGGTTAGGACAATCGTCATCCCGTATCCTACTTGGCCCTTAATGGAAATGATGTGTTTTCTTGATCTTTGTATTTTTTCACATGTGAATGATTCTGAATATTATGACTAACTACATTTGCAATCAATAGCATCTTACAATTTTTAAAAATCTAGCAATTCATTCTCCTTCTTAGGATCTGGGCTCCCATCTCCTTTACAAATCAAAGTGAAGGCTGAGAGGGTAGAACCAGCGGGTCTTTAGACCACCACGTAAAAAGATTTGATTTGGGCATTTGCCACCCTTTTCCCTGACTCTTCCCACCAGGAGAAGTTGCTCCGGTGCAAGGAACTGCATTTGACCTGAGGAAGCCCGTGGAGCTTGGGAGACACCTGCAGGAGTTCCACATTGATGGCTTTGATCACAATTTCTGTCTGAAGGGATCTAAGGAAAAGCACTTTTGTGCGCGGTAGGTACTTTTTACTTCCTGCCTCAGCAGGAGAGACAGCAACCCCTACTTGAGGAGCTTCTCCTCTGTCTTCGTGAATACCATTTACTATGCTACAGGGACCAAACACCACAGCCAATGTCTTTCCAAAGCTTGTATTCCATGGGCGAGCTCTGCAGAATTTTCCAGTCCCCCTCCCCACATGCCATGATCCCTGTGCCCCTGCCTGGCACCCCGTTGCTCTCCATCTCTGCCTGTTCTATAAGGCCCATTTTCTGTTAGGAGCGCTAATGCCTCCTGACTGAAGACACTCCGCCTTCTTTAAACTCCCAGAGCCCTTGCACTTCCTTGGCTTGTGATTTCTGCCCTGCCCACGTCCACGGAAGGCTGCAGGCTGCACCTCTGCGGCCCTGCAGGCACTGTGTGCATGCTCCCCCCTCACTAAGTCCTGAGTCCCTTCTGCCAGCTTATCTCTGTGAATCCCTGCCTCTGCCTAACACCTAAGCCATGCTTGGCACTAGCAAATGATCCATAAATGTGTGTGGAATGAATGCATCTTCAATGGCGCAGACAAAATGATTCAAACTCTAAGAGAAAGAAAACTTAGAAGCCGCCTTACCCGGGAGCCCAGCACCAAGGCCCCAACTGTGTCCTCTCAGCTCGAGCCTGCTTCTCCCCTCTGCCCGCGGCTCACACTCCTCCCCCAGCTGCCCTCACCTGAGGAGACCCCGCCTTCTCGCCAAACCTCCCATTCCCAAGCCTCTTTCCCTGACCTCCTGGTTGGCTACACACTGTGGGGATGTTTCACTTCTCGGAGACTGTGAGACCCAGGCTTTCTTTACCTATATCCCTTTGACTCCAAGTACAGGACCAGGTAGGTACTCACCTCTGTAGAGGCCTGGTTTGGGGGGGCGGGGGGGAGGAAATAGTGAATCTAGCAGGAACCTCAGCAGATGTGGGGAGAGCCGACTAAAGAGCACAGGCCTCTCTAGTCCCAGGGCGGGGGGCCTTTAATGTAGGGAAGTGTCGCTTTCGAAAAACAGCTGGTTGCTTTGCCAGGCTGAGCAGAGCGCTCCAGCTCTTTATGAGAAAGAATCGCAGCACCTCTGGGGCTCTAAAACTGCCTCCCCCCAACCTGGCTGCCCCAACACATACACACATGCACACGCTTGCACGCACACACATGCATGCATCTGGCTGGGGTGAGTTTGTCCTTCCCCAGAGAAACCAAAGTCAGAGAGAGAAGTTGCTGTTGAAGATTCTCAAAGCCTCCCCCGAATGCCCGGCCCAGGAGGCTGTGAGAAGCCCCCGTGATGCTAATCCCACCTTTGTCTCCATTTATCTTGTCCTGGCTCCGTGACTGGGCCCAATTCCTGTCTCAAAGCTGCCTCCCAGCGGCTGCCCGGCCCCGCCTGCTTTCCCACCCCGGGCCTCTGTGCGGTTTGGCTTTATCCCCAGGGTCCTTCACGCCGGAAGCGGGCGGGTCCTGGAGGTGTACACCACGCAGCCCGGGGTCCAGTTTTACACGGCCAACTTCCTGGACGGCTCGCTGAAGGGCAAGAGCGGAGCCGTCTATCCCAAGCACTCTGGTTTCTGCCTCGAGACCCAGAACTGGCCTGATGCGGTCAATCAGGTAAAGCTACAGGCCGGCCTGTTAAGAGTGGTGGTGTGTCCAAGGTCACACTATATGATAGAGGTCATGACACTCGAGTCAGTTGTGATTCAAAAGTCCATGTGTGTTCTCTTCTCCAAGTCATGATAGACACAGGAAACACTTAGCCAAGTTACTAGCATGGCATTTACATGTTTTTTAAAATATCTATTTTGTACCTTCAAAGCCTTTGTTCAGTGTTTCTCATCAGTACCTACTCGTTTTCTGCACTTTTAAGATGATCCCTCATGTCTTCTCTTCCTATTTGCTTCCTCATAACTCTCTTTTCTAGCTATCTCCTAGGGTAATGAATGCTCTGCAAAGTGCCCTATATGATAAGACTCTTGCAGCTTGCACCAGAATATAAATCAACACACAGATTCCTTCAAGAACGTCTTGCTACGACGTGTGCTTACTGATGTAGTGGATTTTCATTCTGGCTCACATTCTTTATCTCATGGGAAACCAATAATAAACAGTTCTCACATTGCCACCTGGTGCACAGGGCTGGTCTAAAAGCCAGTCCAGAAACCATCCTGGGTAAGGGTGCGACCTGGGCTGGCAGAGTGTAACCTGTGTTTGTTCCCCTTCACAGCCCCACTTTCCTCCCGTGCTGCTGAGGCCTGGTGAGGAGTATGACCACACCACTTGGTTCAAGTTTTCTGTGGCTTAAGGTGTGAAAATATGATCTGCTCCAGGGCCAGGCTGGGAGCGCCTTCTGCAGCCTGTCTCCTATTCAGAGATGAGATGAAGATTTAGAGGCTTTAAAGTGATCCTGTGAATTAAAATCATACAAATGTAGCTGTCATGATAACCAGTCTACTGATCTCCTTTCCAATGACTGGCTCCAGGTCAGGTCTAATGACCAGCCCTATTCTGTGTAGCTAAGAGGACCCAGACACCAATCATTATCCAAGCCCTAACCCTAGCCCAGAAATAGTGCCTCGACCCCCATGCTCTGTTGGCTCCATCTCCACACCTCTCCTTTCATTGAGCCTACTCTCTCACTCACCTTTTTTCCCTTCTCTACCTCCTTGCCCTTGAGCATCTCTTTGGAATTTTCAAAGGTCACATTAGTTCACTCAACTTGCTGGCAGATAGACCTCTCTGCCTAGATAAGGCAGTAGATGAGTGAGAAGTGAGGGGGCTGACGCTTAAAGAAGGTAAGTGACCCCCTAAAGGTACATAGCTGGGAGCAATTTTAGCCAGGACTTGGTCAGGTCATGTGAATTCAAGTCGCCTTCTCTGCTCCCCTTGTCTGCTGAGCATTCCTGGGGTCACTCATGGGCAAAGCAGGGGCTGAGCTTTATCTGTTAGAGCCAGCCTTTCTTCCCAGATTCACTTTTATAGAAAGCATTAGTCTGAGTTTGATTAACTGCCTCTAAGCCTTAGAAGTGGTGTGACTTAGTGTCCAGGAAAGAATCTGTAATTTTGACTCTCTGCCTTTGAAGTTAACTGATAAAGTCCAGCCCAGCCAAAGTGTGGAAGAAAAGAAGCCATGGAGTCAGGAGCTGTGTCAGTGTGAGGATAGGGCCTTACCTGAGGATTGCACATTGCACCTGGAACAAAAGTTGTATGATGTGGATGAAGCTGGGGCTCCCTTTTCCTGAAGAGTTGAATCAGTGATGGGTTTGGGTTGGTGATTTTTAAAGAAATGTATCTTTTATATACTAGCAATCAATTGAAATAAAATATAAAAACCTACACCTTCAAAGACTCCATTTCTTCACTTATCTTTAAATCTGTCAGGCATGGATCTTTAGTAAGTGGACCAAGGATATGGTGTGTTCTGGGTTCTACTACGCTCTCCAGTACGAGTGCCAGCATCTTCCTAGAGGAAAGCTGGAAAGCGACCTAACTGGTAGCCTGGTGAGCTTCCCAGACTTCCTCTCTCTTAGCAACCACTATAAACCAAAGATAGTGTTTATTTTTTAATTCATTTCAACATGGATTTTCTGAGTACCTATTTTGCACACAGTTCTCTGCTGTGTCTATTAAGGGAATTAAGAGGTAATGTCTAAGATGAAGTATGTTCCCTCGGGGGTATCACAGTCTCTCTGGGAGAGACAAGACCAACAGTAGCAATTCAGTGATGTAGAATTGCACTGTCACATGGCTGGGAGCCCTGAACTAGTACTAACTTTGCTTCTGGCATTTACTTTGTGGGCAGACAATCTGATTTCACTTGGCCTCTGATTTCTCACTTACAAGGCAAAGTTTTCCTCTGTTCTAAAAAAAGAATTGTTTTTATAATAAGCCTAGCCTAGAGTAACCCAAATAAGGATATTCAACTTTAGGACAGTGAAAATTACTGGTATTTTGTGTTATGAAAGACAATAAAGAGGCAAAGTTTGTTTGATTATCAAGCCATAAGTCTGATGAAGGTAAAATTTGAGAGAAATTGATCTTTGGTGATGGTAACCAGTCTATTCTTTTTCATGAAACACACACATAAAAGAGAACTTGATGTGCTTGAGAAAAGATACTACATAGTTATGAGACACGTAGAGTATGATGTATGAGCATAATTGTAGCATTTTATGATGAAATCACTGAAGGTGTCAAGAAACAATTTTACAGTCTAACAACTGGACGCTTTGCTCATGTGAGATGGTGAAAACAAACATGGTATTTAGTATGAAAAACATGTAACTACAGCCTGGTTGAAAATGCAAATATCCACTAAAGCACAATATACACTCCCTCCCAAGAATAAGGAGTCCCTAGGAGTCCAAACCTTCCTTATCACACACCCCCACCCACAACCAGGTTAGTGCTTTATTGTTCTGAGTTCTGATCCTTCACAGGTGAGCATTCACTGATTTCACTCAATGATCTGTGGAATCCTGTTTCAAATTCATAGGACATTAAGTTCTTATCATTAGCTGTAGGATTTTCATTATTCCAATTTCCACTCATTTTGCCTAACAAGAAAGATGTACTATTAAATAATTGCACAAACACTGCTATAAAGACTAAGATGCCATGCTGTGGAGGTTAAATTGTTGTGACTATGGCAGTCCAACCTCATCAGACTAAAGGAAATTAGTGTCAATGAATAAATGGATAGTTTGTGAAAAGCAGAACATGAGCCCTAGGTTGAGCGTCAACCTAGGATCCAGGCGATCGGGGTTCAATTCCTGGTCAGGGTACGTGCCCGGGATGCAGGTTTGATCCCTAGTCAGGGGCATGCAGGAGGCAGCTGATCAATGACTCTCTCATCATTGATGTTTCCTCTCTCTCTCTCCCTCTCCCTTCCTCTCTCTGAAATCAATAAAGATATATTTAAAAAAAAGCAGAACATGAGAAAATACAAGACTACCAGAAGACAGGAGGGAAACACAACATATACCCTGTTCCCTAGCCAGGTCCCATTACCAATTCTAACTATTAAACAATTGGATCACCAGTTTGCAAGGGGCTATTTGGGCAGTTTTGACAGGAGTGCAAACCTTTTCCAATCAAGGTATTTATCTTCTCCCTCTAAGTTCCAACTTCTCCAATTACCCAAATTATAATTAAAGTCTCAGATGCTTTGGGTAGCACTTCAGCTGTAGCCAAGAAAGGTGCTCAGCAAATCCTCTCCTCAAAAAAGGCAACTATAATGCTGAGGGAAAAACTGACAAGACAATTTTGTTGCTTTGGAAACTGACCAAAAACATACAACGATCTGAGATGTGTTTCTGTTTGAAAAACGGCTGAACTTTGGGTAGGAACAGTGGGAAACTGTGGTGTTCTTGCCTGAGGCTGTTCCCATTCCCCTTACTTTCCCAGCTCAGTCACTGTGTTCTGCCAGGACAAAACAGAACATGAGGCCCAGCAGGTCGCTGTGGTTGATGGGGAGCTCACTCACTTTGGAATGGTGGGTCATACCCATGTCCAAAAACCTTATCAGTGCAATGGAAGTATAATGATTTCTGTTATGCGAGCACGGAGGGCTGATGGCTCTGTTAGCCTGAGGTTGCAGTCATGATCAGAGCAAGCAGGTTCTGCCTAATCATGCTGAGTACATGCATAGAAGAGGGTACAACCTATTCACACACTCCTGGCCAACTCTGAGGGCATGCAGGTGCAGAGAAAATAAAGAGGGGCTCAGCAAAAAGTAAAGCCAGGACAGACTTGAAAACAACCTAAACACTGAATTTACTCTCTACCTACACAGATACATCAGCAGAGGGGAAAAACCTGACTGGTTGAGGTGTTTCTGTCCAGTCAATGGCTGACCACTAACCTATGCAGACACAGGGCAACCCCCAAGAAAGCTGAGCTTAAAAATAAACACAAGATTTAAAAAATAATAACCAAAATACTAGAGATTATAAAAAAGAACCAAGTGGAATTCTGAGGCTGAAGTGTACAATAACAAATGAAAAGTTCTCTAGAGAGGCTCCAAAGCAGATTCAAGATAGCAGAGCTGCAAGATAGATTAATGGAAATTATCAAATTTGAAAAACTGAGAAAAGACCCGAGGCGTGTGGGACAACATCAAGTGCAATGGGAGTCCAAAAAGGATAGGAGAAAAATATTTCAAAAAATAATTTTGGGCCCGGCTGGGCGTGGCTCAGCGGTTGAGCATCAATCTATGATCCAGGAGATCTCGATTCCATTCCCGGCCGGGCACACACCCATGTTGCGGGCTCCGTCCCCAGTTGGGGGCGTGCAGGAGGCAGCTGATCAATGACTCTCTCATCATTGATGTTTCTCTCTCTCTCCCCCCACCCTCCTTTCCTCTCTCTGAAATCAATAAAGGTATCTTTTTTAATAAAAACAATAATTTTGGGGGAAAACTCTCCAAATGTGATGAAAACCATTAATCTATATATCCAGAAAGCTCAACAAACTCCAAGAAAGATAAATACAAAGAGATCCCCACCTAGATATGTCTTATTTAATGTCAAAAAAACAAAGAAAATCTGAAAGCAAGAGAAAAATGACTCATCAGTACAGGGAACATCAGTAAATTACATCTGACTTCTCATCTCAAACGATGGACCAGGAGGCAGTAGAATGACATGGTCAATGTGCTTAAAAACCAGTGACTCCATATCACCCAAAACAGCCCTTCAAAAGTGAAGGTGAAATTAAAACATTTCCAGATACACAAAGAATGAGAGAATTCATTGCTAGCTGACCTGTCTTACAACAAATACTAGAGGAAGTCCTTCATGCTGAAAAAAAATTAGATGGTAACTCAAATCCATGGAAAGAAATGAAGAATATCAGAAATGATAAATATGTGAGTTAAAAAAGTATTTTCTCATCACTTCTTTAAAAGATATAAAATTGTATAAAACCACACTTATAAAATGGTATCACTGAGTATATAATACACATACAGAGCACAAGGGAGGAAAGTTCAGAAAAAGAAAATATTGGAGCAAAATTTCTGCATTTTACCAAAATATTAATCCGAAATAGACTGTGATAAATTAAGATGCAACTACTAAGGAAATAACTAAAAACTAAAGTAAAAAAAAAAATCAAGAAGTTAAAATGATAGACTAAAAAATATTTAATGTAAAAGAAGGCAGTTGAAGGAGGAAGAGAAAAAGACAGGAGACATAGTAAACAAAATGACAACTGTAAATCCAATCATATTAAATGTAGATGGTTTACACAACCCAAAAGACAGTTTGTCAGATTGAATTAAAAAGCAAGATCTAGTAACCAACTATATATACCAATAAGCTGAAAGTAAACATGGAAAAGATGTACCATACAAATAGTAATCATCAGAGAACTGGAGTGGCTATTTTAATATCAGACAAAATAGACTTTAGAACAAGAAATATTACTAGATAGATATTTTACAATGATAAAAGCATTAACACATCAGAAGATTTAACAATTATAAACGTTACATATGCACCTAATAGAGCTTTAGAGGCTTTGAAGGAATAATTGTGACCAGAGGCCATGCCTGGAGCAGCATTGGTATTGGGCACAACTCAATAGTTATGATAAATACCACTTGAAATTTCCTGAACGTTACCTTTTTTTTAGATGAATATTTATCTGAGCACAGTGACCTCTACTGGTACTAATATAAATGAAAATGCAGTTTCTGAACCCATTTCATAGAAAAGTTCCATTTCAGCATAGGGTCATTTGGTTAGAGAAAGGATCAGGGAAACCTAGAAAACACATTAACAGAACCCTGCTTTGAATCACATGTGAGTGCTACTAACTTTATTATAATAGCAATAAGCCAGGCCAATCCATTCAATAACTATGTTTACTATGTCTCAACTAGGCTAAGCTGGCTAACAGCCCCTACCCTCCAACAGTTTTCAACTCTGGTTATATACTAGAATCAGCAAGGGAGTTTTTTGGATTTTAATGCCCAGGCTTCACCCTCAGCAATTTTGGTTTCATTAGGTTTTAAAGCTCCTTGGGTCCTAATATATAACCAGGAATGAGAACCACTGCCCTAGAGTAAAAGCTTTCCCCATTATTCTCTCATAAAGTCCAACAGTGTGTAAGTACGTAACTGTGTTCAGCTAGAATTTGCTTCCTAGCTTCATGAAGCACTTCCTCAAGAATGAGTCACAGAGAAACTATCTTCCTTGTTAAGGCCCTGCAAACCCTATCAATAATCCTGGCACCCAAGGTCTTCAGAGAGAATTATTTTGAAGATTGTAAACACTTGAAGATACATGTCTAAACCAGGGATTGACAAATATTTTCTATAAAGGGTCAGAGTATTTTAAGCTGTGTGAGACTTACAGTCTATTGTAATTACTCAACTCTTGTCATTGTAACATAGAAAGTCATAGACAATAGGTCAATGAATGAACATGACTGTGTTCCCATAAAACTTTATGGATACTGCAATTTATTTGTTTTTAAATATATCTTCATTGATTTCAGAGAGAAGAAAGGAAAGGGAGATAGAAACATCAATGATGAGAGTCATCAATTGGCCACCTCCTGCACGCCCCCAACTGGGGACAGAGCCTGCAACCTGGGCACGTGCCCTGACTGGGAACTGAACCCCGATTGCCTGGATTCTAGGTCGATGCTCAACCGCTGAGCCACGTCCGGCCAGGCTGCAACTTGAATTTCACATAATTCTCATGTCCTTGAAATATTATCTTTTTTCCCCAACCATATAAAAATGTAAAGACCATCTTAGCTCATTAGCTGTAGTGGGCCAGATCTTAGCTCATCAGCAGTGGGCCAGATCTTGCCTGCAGGCACTACTTTTCTGAATCCTGGTCTAACAAATAGCCAGCACTCTGAAAGAATAGAAAAATTAATGCATAGCATATTCATCCTTAGGCAAAGGGAGCAGTGCGTTCTTGTTACAGGAGCCCAGGAACTCTGGCGATTGCCCTCTTGACCATGACTGAGATAAACTGGCCCATCTGCTTTGACCTGTGCCATATATGTTATCCCTACAGCCAGACTTTTTTATCCATGGCTATAAAAGGATTCATCTTCTGCAATCCAGATTTCCTGAAGATATGTTACAACCCAAAATAAAAATAGGATCTTTGTACAGGATAATATCCAGCTACCTTTAAGCTTTAGTCACTAAGATCCATCTCCATCCCCTTTTGTCAGGGAATCTAGAGGTGGAGACCATATAACCTCAGGCAGCAGAGTCATGAAATAGACACTGCTAGTTCAATGACTTGACCTTACATGGATTAGGCTGACTCACCTGGGCTCAACAGCTCTTGGGGTGGTATGTCTACACCCTTTTTCTGCAGAGAACTTTCTGCACAGAAATTTTCCACACCTTTTCTGAGTAGAACTCTGACTTAACCCAGATGAGGAGGGAAAAACCTTGCACTAGAGCTGCAGAGTAGAGCTGGGAATTGTAAATAGCAGCCTAAGGATCTTAATCCTCTGCAGGCAGATTCAGACAGGAGTCAGTCTTATAGGGGACTAAAATAATTCTCTGAAGACCGTGGGTGCCAGGATTGATAGGATTTGCAGGGTCTTAACAAGAAGATAATTTCTCTGTGACTCATTCTTGAGGAAGTGCTTCATGATTTTAATTGATTATAAAGGTCTCACAGAAAAGGTTAAAATTTTGTGTTTGGTTTAATAGATTAGAATTCATTCATTCATCAACTCACTTTTTATTCACCAAACATTTAAGTATTAACAAGTGCTAGGCAACAAGGAACTGGAACAAGGCCTGGTACCTGCTGTCACAATGTGCCTCGTGGTGGCAAACCTGCAGAGAAGTAAACAGGAGATTACAGTGTAAAGAGGTGTCCCACTATGGAAGAAGTTCAGTGTGTTGAGAGCAAGGGAACCTAAACCAGACTTTTAAACACATGAAAATTTTCCAGAGTGGGGGAAAACATGTACTTTACAACTTAAAAAAGGCCTGGCTGGGTATGGCTCAGTGGTTGAGCATCAATCTAGGATCCAGGAGATCACGGTTCATTTCCCGGTTAGGGCACATGCCCAGGTTGCGGGCTCGACTCCCTAGTTGGGGGCTTGCAGGAGGCAGCTGATCAGTGACTCTCTAACTGTTGATGTTTCACCTCTCCCTCTCCCTTCCTCTGACTCAATAAATTTTTTAAAAAGAAAAAAAAAAATGTGTTGAGACACCATTTTTAACACAAGATTGGTAAAAATCAACAAGCTTGATAGCCCACCATGTGGTCGTGTACCATGTGGGCAATGTTACAGGAAAACAGGCACTCCTACACATTGCCACAAGGGCAAACTAACAGTATCTAACAAAAATGTAAATGCACATGCACGTACCCTTTGATCCAGCAATTCTACTTCCAGGGATTGCCATATATATGCACGGTCACATGCGCAATGTATTTATTGTACAAGGGTATTCACTGCAGCATTGAAATAGAATTAGAAACAGCCCTATCTACCAGAAGGGAAATGACTCAATTCCTGCACTCTGCTCAAAAACTCTCAAGGTAAAAGTGAGCCCTTTCTAGGGCATACAAAGGCCTACGTGACGCATATCCGACATCCTCACCTTCCCATGCCACCTCTTCCCTCTCCTGTGCACTTCCTATTGGTCTCCTTACCCTCTGACAACTCAAAACTACTTTAGGGCCTTTGTACTTACTGTGCCCTCTGCCTAGAACTCTTTCCCCAGAACTAGACGTGGCCTACTCTCTCACTAGCTCAAATGCCACTTTCAGAGGCTGCCTCAGAGCACCCTTCACACACCAACCAGCTCCCAATTCCTCTTACCCTGTTTCATTCTTTCACTTGTATTACCCACCTGATATTTGTTCATCTCTCAAGAATTTAAGCTCCATAAGGATAAAGACTTTGTTCACTTCTGTATTCCAATGCTAGCAGTAGCTGGCACATTGAAAGGGCACAAAATTTTACTGCATAAATTCTGCAACATCCAGGCAACTAAATAGTATGCAACATTAAAAAAAGAAGACGAAGTGCCATTTTACTTATATGAAAGATATTAAATGAGAAAAGCAAGGTGTATCTTGTATTAAACGAAAAAAGGAGAAAGTATCTATGTACATTTGATCAGGCTACATAACTGGTTAACAATGGTTGCCTTTTGGGAGTTAATTGGATGGCTGAGAGTCGGGCCTAGGGAGCCTTCTCACTGTATACACCTCAAATATATTACCAAGTCTAAAAAGGAAAATAGGTTGAGCCAGTGGCCTGTGGGAAAAGGAAAAAGCACTAAGTTTGAGAAATGGCCTTAAGTTAACTGGCTACTACATTCCAAGTGCTCCAGAACTATCCTTCTATTCAGCATCTTTTCCACATTAGGTCTGGAAAGAAAACTGCTGTTATTAACAGTAATCTACAATGCATAGGATCAATTGTAAATTTTCCCCCCACAATGTGACTTTGTTTTAAAGGAGCAGTCAAGTGCTTTATTGATTAAAAAGAGCAAGGGCTTTAAAACCATAGGTAGAATTCAAACTTTGCCTACCTCTTAGCAGGTTAATAGTTGAGTATTAATTTACCACTCTCCTCTTCTGTGAGATGGGGTTAACAGTACTATTTTGTTGTGAGGATTAAGTGACAATGTCCTTTGATATTTTTACTAGAATGGTAACAACAAACCTGTCAAGGTGTGGGAAAAAGAACTATCAGGCTTTGAAACTGTTTACCGATGCTTTTTCCCTTAATTGAAGACAATTCTGGATATAACAGCTTTAATACCTAGGCATCTTTGCCCCATTTCTTTGGCTTGTCATCAGTCATCACCACACTCCAAGACCAGCCCAGGCACCTAGTATTTCTTGTGACTTTGACCTTTTTTGCTTCATGTCTTCCCGGCTATACAATTATGTACACATATTCTAGCTTACATAGCCCTGCCTTCCAAAGGTCTCTAAGCAGCAGTTGCTCACTAAGCCAGATCTAATGAATTCTTTGCTATTATTTTTCACTCTAACAACTCTTTGCTAACTTGTCAGCTTTAGGGCTCCCTATACCTACTAGTTTATCTTGGAAACCAGTCCTCCTTTAGACTTCAAGATAGGCTACACAAAGATGACAATCACAATCCCCTACTACCATTCATTTAACCAAGTCTCAAATTGATGGCATTTCAAGAGCCCCAATTTTCTGTCCTCAGAAAGGACACTGCAAGATGGACCACTTTCACTTGATATTTAGCCTGGTTTAAGACCCAAGGGAGAAATGCCACTGTGAAGTACACTACTTACCTCTCTATACATAGATGAGGACCAGATAAGGTTCTATGTCCAAAGCATGTCTGACATGTTACCTACTAATAATCAGAGCCAGGTTTACAATTTCGAGTGATTTAGAGTCTGAACCAGCACTTTCCAAGTCAGTCACATAATCTATTTAGCAGTCCTAACCTCTAAAAGTAGAGAAGTACACTGTCCAAAGTATATCATTTTAAGATGTATTCTAAACACAGGAGTACTGAGTTGTAGTCAATGGTATAAAAGGTGTTCACCTAGATAACCAGGTTTCCCTTTCCCTTAAGGATAGAACTTTGTGTTTTTTCTTAAACCATTTTGCCCCTACCCCACCCTCCCTATCTTTTTATCCTTTCATATGATCTCTAGAACACTGCTAGTAATCCATTCCAAAGCTACAGAAATAATTCCTACTCTTGGCTCAGAACTCCCACTTTCAAAAACTGAGTATCAGGATTGTTTGTTCTCTGCAGATTTATTGTTGAGTAAACTTATCTTTATATAATACAGAACAATTAAAGCCAAGTGCAACAAATAAAATTAGCCTGCCAATTACAGTTTTATACCAACCATAATTCAGCCAGTTTTCCAAATTCTAAAAACAAAGTATCCAAACCTCCAACATACTAGTGATCATTCAGACCAAATAATTTGAGGCAGACCAGTATTCCAAAATTGCAATGCTATCCAGTAACTTTGTTAAGCATAAGGAAATGGATAAGGGCAGATAGATACCTGTGCCACCAGTATTAATCATTCTGCAAAATCTTTTTTTTTTTTGCATGATCTTTTTTTTTGCACCAAGGCTAGAGAACACCCGGTAGAAGCTTGACCAGGAAACTCAAAATTAACTGTTACTGTCCTACTAAAGATATTTAAAGTCTAAATACGCTATAATATTCTAAGGTCTACCAGATGCTACCAAAAAACCGACTTAAGGTGTGCTAAATATAGGTGAGATTTACAAAACTGTCTCATTAACATTTCTGATTGACATCTTTAATTACTTTGCACCAGCCTGGCAAAATAATAGTTATGTTGGTGGTTGGGAACTGAAAAAAATCTAGCTTGGGAATTAAGAGATCTCTGCTCAGAATAAGGCAATCCATTTGAAAGAATAGATGAGAGTGTCTGGGCTGGAAAATTTTGCAAAGCTGGTTTACATGAAAATGTTTTGTCCCAAATTTAGACAATTCCTCAAACATGCAAAAATGTTGGTATAAAATTGGCTAAAGTTAACAGAGAACTTCCTAAAATGGGAGTTCTGATTTGACATCATTCCATCTAATAGCCTGAAAACCTCAGTAACTCTACTTTTAAGTAGCATTCAGCAAAGTTCTTATACCATTTACTTTAATAAGCTTTGTTTAGTCCTTGTCACACTTATTTATAGGCAAATCAGTGGTTCCTTTAGTTGACAGATCTAGATCATTAGCCTGATAATATGCAACACCAACTCCAATTGATTAATTCAGGGATTTGTCATGATGTATTCATGCTATTAAGGAGGACTGAGTTATCTTACCCAAACCTCTAAGGGTAAAAGGGAGTTTTCCAAGTGTATGTATACGACAGTTAACGACGTTGAGGACTTTATACCATTAAACTTTGAATGTCGATCTGTACGAATATGGCTGATAACAAAGATGACTACTGAAGATTACCAAGTATTAATATTGAACACAGATCAAAGATCTAGTTAGAAACATTTTATTTAAATGTGCCAAATAAAAACCCACATTTTCAAACCATAAGATGTTAATACATTCAACAAAAATTTATATTATCTTACTGCTGTGAATTTACAGAGTAATAATCCAGATCCATTTTGATTAGATGGTTGAAATAACCTTCCTAGGTTACATTTTACAAACATCACAAATCCCTTATAATAATGTAAACAAAATAACTTTTCCCTAAAAGGTGAACTTGAGAACTTCAGTCCACTCTTTCAGGACTTGCACTTCTTCTCGGACTTCCTGATGGGGAACGACTAAAAAGAAAAACATTAGGTGTGGAACCCATTAGTGTCTACTGAAACTTACTCTTCTCATGAACATGTCAGGGTAAAGCTGTTTCAATAAATCCAAAGGTGGCCAAAGGAGCTAAGTTTCTATAGCAGAGAACTAAAAATTACATAAAAGATTTATATACAAATCCTTTGTCCCTAATTAAGATTAGTCTTAATAGCCTCCTTGCTAAAATTGCAAGGTTAAATTAAAGAGAACTATTTGAATTTTGGATTTTTTGGATCATTAGCAGCAACTAGACAGATAATGGTTTAGCTCCAAGATTTCAATCTACAAATTTTTCTTCATGTAGGCACTTCCTTTTTACCTACTTTTGCTATGTCGGGGGAAAAGCATGTTTCTTAATGTGAAATTATACAATTATGACTTCACAGGACTACATACATCTTGATCATCTTTCTAACACTTTATGACTAAGTATTTCCAAAAATATAAGGTGATATTGAAGCAGAAAAAGCGACCCTTTAAACAACTTAGTAAGTAGTCTTTATGTATATAGCACCAATTCTCCAAAGAGTTCAAAATCAAAGCCTGCAAAGTAGGCAGGAAGCAACAAATTCCACAGAGGCCACATCTGACAGTTAAAATTTGGCAACGAATTATTTAGCTTACCTTCTTTTTGGAGATGGAGATCTGGACTTTGATCGGCTGTCAAAACATGAGAAATTCTATTAAGAAAAAGTACTAACCAATCCCTTTTCTTATAGTCATAATATCATGAAATGAACCCCCAAACTGTCCTGAACTTAAAATGTCAGGCTGCAATTAAACTGAAAATAAATAAATAAGCCTATCAGTTTTTGCTAACAAAAGCCAATCTTTCAACAACTGTTCTTCATAAAATGAACTACTGTTGTCATGATTAATCTGCCTTTTAACCACAACTATCTCAGAATGCTTCTCCACGCACTTATTAGTTCTATCAAGGCCTCTTAACATAACACCAAAGTCACAAACTGCTTTCTCACTATAGCTTGACATTCCCATGTCCAGGAAGTCATCCAGAATGGGCACGTACAAATGAAGTTCTAAAGTTTGGTTTATTAATAAGGTACTGTGTTCCCTCCCACTCAACACCTAGCCTTAGAGTTAACACTTGAAACTTCAACAATTCAAAAACTTTGAACTCTTTGGATATTGGTGCCATATAACTACAAGAGCATTTATCAAATTTTACCCATACCTGCTTCTTGGTCTTGAAAGAGACCTGGATCTTGATCTTGACCTCGACCGTGACCTTAAAAACAAAAATTATACCAATTAGTCCATACTGGTAATTCCCTTAAACACCTTTTGAGCACCTCATTAGGTAGGCTCCGAACAGAGGCCAAAACTGAGCAAGATGCAACTCTTGCCTTTTATCAGTCTAAGATTAGGCGAACTGTCACATTTTCAACAAGCTTTGGTATCAAATAAATAAGGAACCACCATTTCAATTATTTGCTTCTATCAGACTCAATGAGCTGGATTGTCAGTTGCAGAGATATAATATTCTTAGAGTATGGTATTCCAAGAGAAAGTAGACTGTTTTCATTTAAGACTGATATGATTTGATTTGATTTAAAAGAACCACAGAGACCCCCCTGGACAGAGATTTCAATTATTCAGGTGATAAGATCAGTGAAAAGAAAGTCGCAGTGGGTAAGGCTTTATTCTTAAATTAGTAAGCTTTCATGGTTCAAGATCATGAATTTATCACAGAAGCCAAATCAGGCTGACATACACATTTTGGGGTCCCATAATCAAATTAAATTCCTTTATCTAGAGAGAGGGGGTCCAGAGCTTTCAAAAATGGACCACAAAAGTTTCAGAATTTCTGCATTTAAAGACTTATAGAACAATGGTATCTCCCAGTGGCATTCCCTACTACTGATTCATCATCTGTTGTATTGTCAACTCATTTTCTAGATGTTATTCATTTTTATCACCTTTACACGCCTTCCACAAAGGGAGTAAAAAAAGCTGAAGTTCTGTTTGATTTTTACCTTCTTAAATTTCAGTGTCTAAACTTAAGTGCCTGGCTAAATAAGCCATGTTCACCCATATGTACACTACTACTTCCCTAAACTTTCCAAAGTCTCAAATTCACCCCAGCATCCCAAATTATGTCCTTAAGACACTCTTCTACTGTCATTAAGACGTGACAATCCAAATACAGATAAGGGGGTAAAAAATGTTACATACTGGAAATACCTCGATCCTTTTATAGAACCAGACCTAGATCGTCTGAGTGATGCTGATCGTGATCTACGAAGAGACACAGATCTTGATCTTCGAGGAGAGGCTGATCTTGACCTAAAAATTAAATCAAAGAGGTTTAGGTCCATTTCCAATTGAAGTTTCTTATTGCTTGTTAAAACTTGCATTAAAGATCTCTCACCTCCTTCCCCTGCTCCTGCTTCGTGAGCGAGAATATCGCCTACCCCTGGATCTCGAATGTGATCTAGACCGTGACCTATTTTTCAAGTTAGGAAAATAACAAAATGTTAGATGATAACTCGTTTTCATAGTTTGTGTGCCTCTGCTGAAATCAAATCTCAAAACTATTTAAATTTAGTGTCTCATTTGGAAATAAACTCTGGGCCTATTAGTTGTCCAGTTTTTTTTTTTTTTTTTTAAACTACCTAAAAAAAGATTTGTTAAAAGTTGAATTACATTTTAGAATTACATAATATAAAACACTGTAATGTGTATTTAAAATAAACCTTGCAAGTTTGCAGGTCGACCCTCTTTGGCCCATGGTCTAGTAGATCTAGACGATCTAGAAGTATCTATAGCCGATCGCTGCATCTAGATGTTTTCTTCAATCTAACGACGATCAAACTGACAGCCAAATGAGCCAGGTGAGGCTTGATTGACGCAAGAAGATTTTTCTAGTTGGAAATGTGGTCAATCTGGTGTTCCTCTTTCTAAACCGGAGGGGGCCCCAATTGTAAGCCAAATTTACTGTTACGGCGATCACCGACTCAAATTTTCTGCCCTTTAAAGAATAAGGTGAAGCTAGGTGTAGATGACTCGAGGGGATCTGGCCTCTTATGCTGATCACCTCAAGGTCTAGGAGGATCTTAATTGTCGGATTTGCAAGGCGCCTCAGCATATCATAAGGCTCGTGACATTCTGAATCAAGGCGACTGACTCAAACGAAGAAACCTGAAAGGTTTTGACCAGGTTGATTATTAATATATTAACAATTGTTTAATTAAACACAAATTGTAAAATACACCTGTACAATTAACATTCAAGTTTATATAAAAATACTAGTTTCTGCCTTGCTAATAAAAGAATTACTTGATTAACTAGTATACCAACCATTCTTTTAAAATAAATACCTGCTTCTTCTTCTCCGGCTATAACGATGACAATCATAAGCATAATGTCCCTTTTCGCCACACTCATAGCATCTATCATTGGGATCAAAGGGACGTCGGGCAGGTGGTCTATCAAAACGAGATCTCCGAGGCATGCCTGTTGATAATTCAACCCTCACTCGGGAACCACAAATCACCCTATAAGAGAGAAGTAACAGCTTCAGCTGCAGTATTTATAAAGTATAACCACAGCAGTTTTTCATACCTTCCAAAACTTGCTTTAGTGAACAAAGCTCTTTAAGAGATGAATAGAAACGGAGAGGAGTTCGTGAAATGAAGCCACCAAGCACAGTGAGTTGCGTTGAATATCCCAGGACTGTTTCAGAAGCATGGGGACTCAGCTCTGTTTTGTCTCAACTAATGTAGCTCACCCTCCCGGGGCGGCAAGAGCACCCAGCCAATCGCTCCTACACCACACGGTCTCTAAAACGTGTCTTTTGGTGCCACAAATAAAAATCTATGAAATTGTAAAATAGAAAGACAAGCAACAAAGTTCTAAAGCTAAAAAAATACATGACTTCTGGATTTAGAACTTTCCAATCACTCTGCTTTCACAGGCCAACTCCACCTTTGCTCCCTTTCTTAAATAAATAAAATGATTAGCTATTTACAACTTCCTCTAGACTACAGAATCCAAGCTTAGCACCTAGCTTATCACCCAGCCCACCAGACTATTCTAACGAACATGTAGGTTTCATAGCCGGCATCTTACTTACTTGCCATCCAGGCCTCGCACTGCATCTTCTGCATCTCTAGGGTCTTCAAATTCCACAAAGGCAAATCCTGGAGGATTTCTTGCAATCCACACAGTTCTTAAGGGACCATAATAACTGAAAGCCCTTTCTAACTCTCCTTTGCCAGCACCAGTTCCCAGGTTACCAACATACACCTTGGTTTCTGTTTAAAAATGCAAATAGAAGAATGCACGTTATGCAAAATTTGATCCAAGTTTGAATGACTTTGCCTTACAACAGGCCATCCGTAAGCCTGTTCAAAGCACGTTTCGTGCTCTATCAAGGATTGAATTTGGTCTTAAAACCAGCAAAGTCCGTCATTTCCTGAAGAGCCGGGCGTATGACAAAGCAGGGAAACACCTCCAGGACGCCGGTACCGACGAGTGGTAGGATATTCCGAGCGCGAGGCGGGTTCCGCCCGGCCCCGCCC